GCTTCCTGTCTATCCAAACTCCCAGGTCCCTTTCTGCCTGGCTGCTCTCCAGCCACTCTGTCCCCAGCCTGGAGCACTGCATGGGATTGTTCTGGCAGTGTAATTCTGAGTGTAACTTGGAGTGATGTGTGTTGCTGCTTGCTGTTATTTCATATCATTTCTCTGATTATCCATCCAAATTAGATGTTGGAATCTTGGGAAGGAGACATGGTTCTCAGTATGGCCAAGCCTTTACCAGCAGGATTACATCTTTACCAGGTGCTTGATGGTAAGATCGCTACATACAGTGCTTCCATGTTGTTTATGTATCTTACTTCCTGCAGACATAAACCATCTTGAACATGTGTATTGCTGAACACTCTTCCCACTCAAACTCACCGCATGGGTGTGAAATTATTTAGGACAGTCTTAGAAGTGAAATGAAGGGTTTGATACTTTTATGTGTAACCTTTGTTATGAAGTGCAGTAAGGCAAGTTCAACGCGTACTGACAATGATATGTCAGTCTGTGAATGTTTGCTCTCATAGGATCTGCTGAGAGGAGAGGAGACTGGAGCCAGAGTGACCTCAAAGGGAAATGTAGGTTAGACTTAGGCTGAAGGAGGAATTTTGTAAATGAAATGCTTATATAAAGAACTAGTTTGTCAAGAGTACAGTAGTTTTAAAACCATGATTTTTGTCTCCAGCTTTGCACTGTTATGCAATTCTAAGTGTTAGTCTTCAAGAACCTTTTCTAAATGTTAAAGTCTTAAAAAATTGGTGTTTGCCAGCACATACCCCAACACTCCATGATGCTGACAACAAATGCAGAGGCATTCACAGCTGCCCTAAATGTTCCTCCCCATTCCAGTACAGTTCTTTAAGTCAATGACTTCTAAAGAACCTGCATTTGCCTTGTTGACCCTGGTGGAGTGTTTTTGGGAGGGGGGGGCAAGGACTTGATGGTTTGCCTCTCTTTCAGGAGATGAGCTGAGCTTGGATGGCATTGGACTGGCTGATGGCGCAGACATCTTCGTGTGGAATGGGAAAGAGGTAAAGAGACCAAACAGCTTTCTTTCTTGCCAGTTCTGAAGAGATAAGACTCTGTATGGTTTCCCTGAAATTGTGCTCCTTTTCTGGTTTTGCACTTTCCTTTTACTCTTAAGGCTTCTGCTTAACTTTAGAAGTGCTTATGTAGCACAGCATTTTATTCTCTCTCTGTAATGAAATCAGATGTTGCTTTTAAAAGGCTTTTATTGTAAAGATATGCATTTCCTCTCAGATTTAGCAAAGGAAAACCCCAAAACAAACATAAACCCCCAACCATCTAGCAGCAGTCATTTTTGTCTTGGTTGTGCTTTGACAGGGTCTTACCTGCTTCAGCTTTGTGTGATTAAATTGTTTTCAGCAAGAACTATGTTCTTTGCTTAGGTTGACTATCAGAAAGGCCAGATATTAAAATCTGACTCTTGATTTGCCTCAGTCAGATTTGGGTAGTTTTTTAACATCCTCAGGGCCTTCCTTCCTGTATTCTTAATCTGATGGAGACTTAAGTGTCCACTGGTTTCCCAGCTACTTTTACCTGGAATGAATTGGGTTGGAAGGGACCTGAAAGATCTCCTTCGCCTCCTGCCATGGGCAGGGACACCTTTCACCAGCCCAGGTTGCTCCAACCTCCATCCAGCCTGGCCTGGAACACTTCCAGGGATGGAGCAGCCACAGCTTCTCTGTACAACAGCCCTTAGCATTATGCGTTCTCTTCTCAGCACCTCTGAGTGACTCTGTTTGGTTGTTTGGTAGGAATTTGATCACAGCTGGTTTGTTTCTAAGGAGAAGAGGGTGTCCAACTTTTTGTTTCAATAATTTTGTTGCTGTCACTTATTACTGTTCAGTCTCCTGTATTATATGTACCCCATAAATTTGGCATTCCTTCCCTCAGGTTGGAGGTACAAAGGTGATGACAGGTCCTGACCATGAACCTGTGGTGGTAAATGCTCTTCGTTTGGCGCAGTATAATGAAGGAGGGAAGGGGCAGCACTTCACAGAGTCCCAGCACATCTTCTCCTGCAGCACAAGAGTGGCTGAGCTGCATAGAGCCTTGGCTCCCTCAGGAGGAATCATCCTCAAGAACGGTTCGGGAGCAGAGAAAGAAGCCAAGAACTGGGAAGTTTTCCTCGAAGGAGATATGAAGGAAACAGTCAGAAGTGTTGGCCTGACAGATGGATGCTCACTGCTAATCTTGGATAGCCATGACCAGAGGTAATAATTCTGATTACAAGGAGAATTAAACAGAAAAGCAGTTTGGGCAAAATTTGTTTGGTTAAATTATCCTAGGTATTTATGTTCTTGTAACTGATTATCCCTTTATAGTAAGGGATCATTAGTATAATCACTGTTATAATATTAAATTCTGGAGATCAGGTGGTTACCAGCTATTAGATACTTGTTTGCTCTCGAAGTGCAGATGCAGTCACATCCTTTGACTTGTAAAGGGGAGAAACCTGGTGGCACAGCTTGTGCTCGGCGTGGTGGCACAGCCTGTGTTTGGCATGGTGGCACAGCTTGGGCATAACCTGAATTTCTGAGGGTCAAATTGTGTGGTTCTCTGAGGGATGTGGTGGGATGAGAGGGCAGAGCAGCATCAGAAGAGTGTCAGCCCAGGATATGTCAGCACACTGGACACAAGGTGTTCCCACCAGGTTCTTCCCTTTAGATCCCCGTTGGATCTAAAGTTTCTGGTCTCATTACATGTCAGTGCTGTCTGAGGCCTCTACTCCCCCCTCAGTGACATGTCATCACTTCATGACCGTTCACTATGTGAGAGCTCTGCTATGGATGATCTAGCCGTGACAGTGTTCAGTTTGCCTGTCTCTGACTGTCTCTGCACTCTTTATTCTCACAGCTTTGTGAACGTGGCAAGTGGCAATCTGACTGCCTTCACCTATGACATCAGTTGGCTCCAAGTGAGAAACTTCTGCAGGGGGGAAGATGAGGAGAAACACGTTAAAATTACTGCAACTATTGAAACAGTAAGGATTGTGCTTGTTCAGGGCTGTTTTCCTCAACAGCATGGCCACTGCACTTTGCCCCCTTAATGAGGAGTAGATTTAGCCTCAGAGGTGAAGTTTCTCTGCTGAAACTAGTGTGCAGCTTGGAGTTACCACTGCTGGGACAACTGAGTGCTGTGGTAACTGAAAGCAGGACAGGGTTATGGTGTGAAACAATTTTCTTCTTGGCCCATCCTGCAAATGTGTGTTTGGTGAGGTGATAGCAGGAAACAAAAGCTAAGACAGTAGGGAAGGATTGTTTGTAGCTTTTTGTGGGCTGGCATTTGACCAGGCAGGGATGTGACAAGCATTCCATGTTGGAAGTGTTTATATCACTCTTTTTCAGGTGATGGCAGATATCAAAATGAAAGCAATACGGGAGCTTCAGCTAGAGGAGGAACTGGGTAAGTGTTCAGCTGCTGTACCTTTCAGTCTGATAATATTGCTGTTTACTGGCTTGTATCAGTCTATTCCAAACAGCAAACCCATTGCTGTTGGGACTTTTCTTGGAAGAAAAAGGCTGCAAAGGACTTGAATAATTTCACTCAGGACTGGATGAAGTTTGCTTTCCTAGCTTAAAAAACTAGATCAGTATAAGTCTTGAGTAAAATACATTTTATGAAGCTCTTATTTTTCAGAGCTGTTTTCTAGCACTTATCACTAAATAATACTAAAGTATTAAATTCAGGATTGAACAAGGGTTTTTTTCAACCTTATTCCTTTCTGTAAGACTTTTCAGTTTTCTTTCTTTCAAGTTTTTGTAGTCTTTACCTCTGGAAGCACTTGGTCAGTTTTGTAGTGTCCTAAAAGAGAAAGTAATCCTTCAGTGAAAAGATAAAATCTAAGACTTGTCCAGGGAGTCTCTAGCAATGTCCCTCCCATCGTACTTTTGATGTCATAGGGGGAGGCCTCTAAGATAAACCTGTTGTAGCTAATCCTAAAGGTGTTATCTGTCTGTACTTTTGAGCCAAATTTCTTCTTACCTAAATTACTTACGTTGTCTGTCTCTTGTTCTTGCCCTTTTTGCCACAGCAAACAAGAGCTGCCTTAGACCTGTCAGTGGAAATGGGAAACTCCTGTCTCCGGGTAAATTTAGTTACTTCATCATTGTTCTGCACAATTTCCCTCGGGAGACTCTAAGCTTCCCTGGCAGAAGTGCACACACATGACTCCACTGATTTCCAGATTGAACTGAAGCAGTTGTGGGGTTTTTTTTTCCCAGTTTTCAAGTTTATTGACAGTACCAATACAAAGGGAGAGGTTAAACTGAAACAGTCAGGTTGGTTTTGTTACTTACATCCTTAATACCACTATCCCTATAAAACTGTGCTCCTGTTGGGCAGAGTTCAGGAGGAAAGGACCCCCAGCTTTGCTTTTGCTGGTGTTGGGGCAATGGGGAGAAGCTGAGTGGATTAGTTGGTGCTTGCTGGGAAGCATTTCATATGTCTTTGCTGTTTTCTTGATACATTGCATCAGTACAACATGGCCAGGAAGCCCATGAGAGAGGAGTTGCCCTCCATTCAGGGTTTGTCAGCCAACATCTGGAGTGTTGGGTCTGTTTTGTGGATTCAGCATGAGAAAGAAGCCCTTGGAAACTAGAACCTGGCCAGAGGAGAGCACCCAGGATGGTTTGGGAGCTGGAATGTATGAAAGAGGATGGAAGCTGAGCTCTTCAGTTTCTTGAAGAGCAAAAGGCTTGGAGGGAGGAGGGATGACTGCCATATTCAACTTCTTAGCATAGAATCACAGAGAAGGCAGAGACAGATTCTTCCCAGAGGAGCCCAAGGAAAGGATCAGTGGCAGCAGACACGTGTTTGAAGGAAATTCCAACTGGTCTGGTGAGGGAGGAAATGTCATGTCAACATTGTGGAAGTGAAGTTCTCTAAGTGTCACTGAACATGTTTAGCTTACTCTAAAGAGCAGCGTAATAGGATGGAAGTTTTCAGCAAGCAGCAGCTTCTGACATTCTCCGTCTTTTTGTTCTCCCTAAAGTGCCTGAGGATTATACTGTCAAGGAAGCAGAACTGAAAATGGGAAGCTTGCTTGGGCTGTGTCATGGGAAAGCTCCCACTTCCACTCAGGTATAGTAGTACTGGGATGGAAAGAGTTTCATGCATTACCTTTGTGAAGGTCATAAAGTAAGAAAAGGGATATTGCTCTTAGGATCTACAAGTTGTAAATATCACAGAATCCCAGGATGGTTTGGGTTGGAAGGGACCTTAAAGACCATCCAGTGCCACCCCTTGCCATGGGCAGGGACACCTTCCATCAGCCCAGGTTGCTCCAAGCCCCGTCCAGCCTGGCCTTGATGTGCAAGAGAAGAAATCATTGTGTATCCCTGGAGATCAGAGCCCTGGCAGGTTTTGTCTCTCACTTGCAGCAGGTGTGTTCAGATGGTTAGTGAAGATCTCTTGATGGCCATCACTCAGTTAGCTGTGCTTCTCTGTACTGCTTAGATGGGTTTAGCCCAGAGAAGGTTCAATGCTGTTTGCCTTGCAGCAGGGAGTGTTATTTCACAGTGTTTCCAGGTTTCAGTCCTTATTCTGACAGCTCACACTTGCATTTTTAGCTCTTCTTGTACTTTATCATTGGGAGCGACCTAAACTTGAGCCCGGAGATGGAGATAGTTGTGGAGGAGACAGCCTCTGTCAAAGAGGTAAGGCTGCTGCTTTGGCAGCTGTGGCATGGCTGGGCCAGGTCTGCTGCTCCTGGAAAGCTTTCCTTACACCCTCTGCCTGGCACAGAGCTGGAGTGTGAAGAGTTGGGAAGAGCTGTGCCTGGAGTGAAGGAAGCTGCCAGTCCAGCCTGCTGGCACAGGGTGCCAGTGCTGGCAGATAGTGGCTGGAAAGTGTTGGGTTTGCAGGTTTGATTTTATTTTTTTTTAAAGGTGCATCCTCCAACTCTGTGACAGAATTTGTTCAAGTAAAGTAACAAACTGACAGCACAGATTGGTTTTGTTAGCAGTTTGTAAAAGCTGATGTGGTGAATTTCTTGCCTGCAAACACTCTTATCCATGAAGGGTTTAAGACATAGCTTGAATACATCTTGTCTAGGTCAATATATTGTTTTTAAGAACTGACCAGGAATCAGTCAGTGTTTGTGTTGGAAAATTCTGGTATTGATTTGCTCAAAACTTTGTCTCTCAGCCTTGGTGTTGAGACAAATCTCACCCTGTCTTTCTTTTTCCAGTGTCTCAATTTAATGCTGGAGAAATCTGGATTATCAGGTTAGTTGTATTGCTATTTACTCATCTTTTTAAAATATTGCTGCCCTAAATCTTGTGCATGTGTTCCAATGATATGTGTGTCATTGTAGTGTGAGGAGGGGAAGAATCAAAACTTGCAGCCTTTATGGTTATAGGTTCTATAGGACCTTGTCATAGATTCAAACAGCAAACTGACACAGGAATTCCTTCTCTTCCCTCCTAAACTAGGGAAGATAATGAGGTAGGTGAGGAAGAGACACTTATGCAAATAAGAGGAGAGTATTTCCATATAGCAAAGTGTTTCCAGGGCCTGGGGGAGGACATGAAGGTGGTATTTCATTTAGTTGGTCAGAGTTGTGTTGAAAATACAAAGAAAGACCAAGCAAAAGAACCATAACACTTCTTAAGAGTTTTGTAATGTTTTCCCAAAACTAATCAGTTTTGCATATGTATCTTTTTGGTACTTGGTAGGTGACAACTGGCATTTGAGAAGGCTTGACTGGTGCTATGAAGCAGGGGAAGCATTAAGTCAGGAAGTAAGAAGATCCTCTTTTTGACTTGTCATGCCATAGTGGTTTTACTTCATGTTCTCCAGAGACTTGCCCTGTGGAGAGGTGCATTAAACATACGTAGACTTCCACATGTCCTGTGCTTTTCCTGCAGAATGCCACTCTGAAGGAACTCAATGTTTGCCGAGGAGATACTTTGGTTATAATGGAAGGAAAGCTTCCAGAAAAGGTAAAACAGGAGAGATTGTGTTCCTGGTCAGTGCACACTGCTGAAGACTTGAAATCCCACGATGGTTTGGGTTGGAAGGGACCTGAGAGCCTGTCTAATTCCATCCCCTGCCATGGGCAGGGACACCTTCCACTAGACCAGGTTGCTCCAAGCCCCATCCAACCTGGCCTGGAACACTTGCAGGACTGGGGCAGCCACAGTTTATCTGGGCCATGTGCTCTAGGGTCCCACCACCCTCAGGGTCAGAGACAGTTCCCTCAGCCTACCCTGATCTTTGCCCCCTACATGGATTACATAAAGCTCAGATTTTTGTCCTGCACAGACAAAACCTCATCCAAGTGGCTGTCACATTCCCTGGCACACATTCCTCGGCCTGTGACCCAGTTGTGACTGTGGAGGGAAAGGAAGGAAATAAACAGTTTCGGTCTTAATGGGTAAGTGCAAGAGGCGTAGAAAACCATGGATCTGCACCCCTGCTCTGTCCACTCAAAGGAAGGAAATAAACAGTTTTGGTCTTAATGGGTAAGTGCAAGAGGTGTAGAAAACTATGGATCTGCACCCCTGCTCTGTCCACTGCAGCACAGGGCAGGGGAAACTGGGAACAGAAGGGTAGAGGATTTTTCAAAACCAGCTGGCAGACAGCGTGGCTCTTGGCAAGTCCATGGTGGTTAAATATTCCTCAAGGAAAACTAGGTATTTTAAATACTTAAAAAATGTAAGGTCGAGGTTATGGCCACAGTGCAGAGGGTGTTTAGAGCCTTGTTGAGAGCAGCATCTAAAGCAAGCAAGGAGCTCTGCTGCTCAGGAAAGGAGACTCAGGACAACTCAGTGTCCCTTCCTGGCCACACAGAGCAGCTAGGGGAACCAGGAGTTTCTGCAGTAACCAAGCAGCATTGCACTTGGTGAGCTGAAATGAATCCCTGGATTAGATGTTGGGAAGAAATTCTTCCCTATGCCAACGGTGAGGAACCAGCACAATTTGCCCAGAGAAGCTGTGGCTGCCCCATCCCTGGAAGTGTTCCAGGCCAGTTTGGATGGGGCTTGAAGCAACCTAGGGTAGTGGAAGGTGTTCCTTGCAAAATCATGGAATGAATAAGGCTGGAAAAAACCTCTAGGATCATCAAGTTCAACCCTTAGCCCAGCACCACCACCATGTTCACCACTAAACCATGTCCTCAAGTGCCACATCCACATGTTTTCTGAACACTTCCAGGGATGGTGACTCCCCGAATTCCCTGGGCAGACTGTTCCAAAAGCTCAGATTTGGACAAGCCTTTTTCTGCTTCCTGCCATGAAGGTGAAATTTTTCCTTGTCTGCACTGGAACACAGGATCTACTCAGTACCTTCTGTTCACTTTCCAGGGTCTCCTGACAATCCGCATCTGGTGGCTCAGGTCTTCAAGCCCTAAGAAACATGGAGAGAATGCTCAAGCCCAAGTGAATGGGATGAGCTGCAAGATGGATGCTTTGCAGGTGTCTGCTGCTGCAGGTGAGCTTGGTCAGACTTTGACAAGAGTCATTGTGGCTGCTCTGAGGCCCTTGAATCAAACCCAGAGTTTCAATCCAAAGCCTTAAAATACTTCTTAAACTTATGAAAGACTGTGCAAGTTGCAGCAAGTTTATGGTGAAAGGATCTACTTAAGAGACAGATTTTTGACACAAATGCTAGATAATACTATTGTGATGTTCCTCAGCTGTTCTGGCTCCAGACCCCAGTAAATTTTGAAGCAGGGGCTCTTCACTTGGCAGCAAGTGAAATAGCTTCTCTGCACCTGGGGGCAGCGGCAAGATTGTGAAGCATCTGCTCCACAGGTCGGAGCACTGAGGTGTTTGGCCTCAAAGCCCAGACTCCTGAGAGTACATTTAATTCCCTTCAGGCTATGTTTCTTCTTGAGGAGCTGTTACAGGAGCTTACATAGCATAGAGACCTCACATGCAGTATTTTAACCTCTGTGTGTTCTTATAGAGGTCAAATCCAAATCACAAACCAGCCAGGGCAGGAAAACCACGTGAGGGCTGGGAAGGGAGAAGAGAATGAAGTGGGGATAACTGGGTTGGGAAATGGGAGAGAAACAGGTTTTTCTTTTGGCATGAAAAGTAATATTCCTTTGCTGCTGAGTCATGCTCCAGGACAGGACCCTTCTCCTTGTAGAAGGTTTCTTTGCATGCTGCTCCTCTTCTCAAACCTGTTCTGAGTTTACCTTCTCCCCTGATGATTTGACTAGTATAGCAAAGAGCAGATGTGACTGTCCTTGCAGTGGGCTCTATATTTCAGAGTCACCAATAGCTAATGCTGTTTATCAGTGTGAATAGCTGCCCTGGTTTTAAAGTCGGCAGTGCAGCATCTGTTTGAATCCTTCCTGTTTGGCACCTCTGGAATGCATTTTATCCACTGTCCCTGCCTATGGCAGGATGTTGGAACTAGATGACCTTTAAGGTCCTTCCAACCCAAACCATACTGGGTTCTATGATACTCTGTTTCTTTAACTGCTCTCCATAAAGCAGTGGAGGTCAGGTGCCTTCTCTAAGTGAAAGCTGCCTTTGAAGTGACTGTTATCTCTCAGGATTATAAACAAAATCATGTTGACTCTTCTATTTGTTTCTTCCTTCTCCCTCTCCTCTCATCTAAAGCTTCACCAGAACCCATCCACACAGCCCTGGATCTGTGTTATGCTGGCAGTATAGAAATAGCAGGAGAAGCTTCTTTGGAAGACCTGAAGATGCAGGTTAGATGCTCTCCTGTATTGGAAATGTACAGCCACACTCTGACTTGAGCTCTATTAACACCTATTTTTTTATTTCCTTTTCCTTTGTCTCTAGTATGTTCTGATATGGCATTTGCTTTTATGCCATGGTCAGTGGTAAGTACCCAGAGGCAGTTGGAGCATGTAGCTCAGACACTTCCTTAGTCCCTGCAGTTGCCATCCTACCTGCCATGTGTCCTGACCTGCAGAAGCCGTGTTGCACTTCATCTGGAACTCTGGCTTGCAGCCCTGGTCTTTCTTTCACGATGTACAAATCCTCCATGAGAAGCACACACATACAAGCACCTCCCAAAAAGCCACTTTCCATTGCCACATTGTTCCTGTATTGGGTTTCTGCGTGGTTATTTTTATTTTTGTCTTTTGGATCTGATGAAGAAAGAGTTGCTTTGGGTGCACAGAAAGTCATGTTTGGCACTCAGGAAGCTCCAGCTTAGTTTCTTTGCCCAGAAACTAAGGTGCCTTTGTATGGTTTGGTTTTTTAGCTATACATGTATGATTTTAATACAGTAAAACCAAAGCTAAAATAAGCTGCAAACAAAACAGCCCAAAATTTAAAAACACCCCAAAACCCAACCACAAAACCACCTCAAACCCACAAAAATACATAAACCAACCCAAGCTAGCGGAAGGCTCTTTGTTGTTCAGCCTCTTGGTTGTTCTGAATTGCATGGGGAAGGATCTCTCATTGGATTGTAGTCCATACCAACACTTATTTTTTGGATGTGACTTAAGTTTCGGCCTCTGCCAAGCTACTGCTGTGGAAAACTGCCTGTTTGCAGCTTGAGGACAAGGAGGATTGTCTGAGCATGGGGAGAGTGTTGTGTCCTTGAGAAGGGCTTAGAGGAGCTCTCTCAGCACTTGGCTAGAGACTGGGGCAGCAATTCAATCATCCTCATTCTCTCCCAGTTGGTTCAAAAAAAATTTGGTGCTTTTGAAATGTAAGTTGAGTTGAGAAATGTTGGCAGGGAGTGAAGTCCAACTTGCTTTGAGGTGATATTTTGGTCACAGCCACAAGCAACAGCTGGTGTGGAATAAATCTTAATGCCTCACCTTCTTCCTTGAGTATTGCCCAGAGAATCCAGTGGTTTTCTCTTTGGAAGAGGGAGACTGTCACTGACAAACTGGGTTTTTTTTCCAGGCTATGACCCTCCCATTCTGCCAGGAGCAGTTTGTGCCCCTGCCTTCGTTCCTCAGGGCATGGACAGTGGACAGTAAGGGCCCAGGAAAGCTCCTACGGGACAACAGGCAGCGACTCAGGTAGGTCTCTTGGGGAATTTGCACCAAGCTGGCTGTGGGATGGAGTGTGGCATGGATTTGTAGCATGCTCCTGAAAAAGCTGGCAGCCCATGGCTTGGACAGGGGCACTCTCTGCTGGGTTAAGAACTGGCTGGATGGCCCAGAGACTGGTGGTGAATGGTGCTGCATCCAGTTGGCGGCCGGTCACTAGTGGTGTTCCCCAGGGGTCAGTGCTGGGCCCAGTTCTCTTTGATATCTTTATTGATGATTTAGATGAGGGGATTGAGTGCACCATCAGCAAGTTTGCAGATGATCACAAAGTTGAAGGGGAGTGTCGATTTGCTGGAAGGCA